ATTTTTTTTTTTTTTTTTTTTTTTTTTTTTTTACCGTAGCTTTACCTCGTAATTTAAAAGAAGACCTCCTTTTTAAGACCCCACTGGTTTCTAGGAATGGCACAGGTAACCCAGGCTCTTTAATAGTACCACAGGACGGTTCCAGTAAAATTACAGTGTTTGTATGGGGTAAAAAAACAATCCTAAAATTTGCAGGAAATACTAAATAAAGGTCAATGAACCGTACTGTGGTATTATGACAGAGCCTGGGTTACCTGTGGGAATGGTTGACACGTTCCCATATGCAGACGGTAAAGAGGCAACCGAGGCAGTTGCATTGCTAATGATTTTATAAGTTTCTTGTTTTTGCCTTTACAAAAATAATATGTTGATAAGTCGGCTATACATTAAAACAAATTTTCTCTTATATTAGAGAGATTTAGAGTCATGTTCACGGAGTTAGACTAACGTCAGATTCAAGTTTAAGAATTTCTGAAAAAAGAAAATAAGCTGAGGATAACTGTCCAAGACAGTTCTTATGGATATAACTAAAGAGAAACTACTAATTTTTTTTGCAGAATGAATGAACAGTAATCGACATGAAAAGGGACAACTTGGTCACGTGGTACAAAGTCAAAATCTGCCGTTTGCCGTTTAAACGCGACTCTAAATTTCTCAATTGCCTCGGTGAAAATGTTGTCTGGCTACTGCCCCGAAGTATTTCAGTTAAAATAACTAGGTGTATTTCCCGTTATTAACTACTGTTATTGATTGGGGGGGGGCGGTATTCATTTCTAGAAGGGAAAAAATGTAAATTAAGCTTTTGTTACTGGCATGGGCGGTTAGACTACCCGCTCGAACTGACAGAATAAAAAGAAACGCATCCAGAGTAACACTTGAATGATGTTTCAAAACACGTCACAATACTGCGAAAAGAGGCTTTTCATAAGTAAAGGTACCCGTTTCGCTCTTCACGACAGTTGTTAAAAAATATGAGATGACGAAAGGGTTTATCAACAATAGTAGCCGTAAAAGCAAGCGTTTCCGTGTGGTTTTGCAGCAAAGGAAGACCGAGGAACGACGAGGAAAGGCCTTATTTTTTTCAGATTTTTTGACCGCGCGAAAAATGCAGGGAACGAGAGCCAAACTAAGCGCAGTCTTTGCTCTGAAACAGCACGGAAACGCGTGCTACGGAGGCTAAAACAATAGCAACAACACAATATAGCACTTTTTTAAAGTGAACTACCGCTTAGTTAAGAAGATTTTAACGTTCTCTTTTTTAACCATGTTGTCCCGGCATACTCTGCGGAAATGCGTTAAAGACCCGGTTCCATTAAGCAACTGGGAGTTTTTCGCAACCGAAATTTTCTGAATACAGTTAAACCTCGACATAACGAACCTCTGTATAACAAAGTCCTCGGTATAACGAAAGATTTTCTTTACCCTAGTAATAGTAAAACGTGAAAATTAACCTCGATAAACGAAACCTCATTATAGCGAACAATTTTGCAATTTCAAAAAAATTGTCACCTTGAATATAATCTCACGTTGTTGTTTGCCTCAAACATGACTTTAAATCTCTAATTAATGCAAAGCGACGTGGTAATTAATAACAATATGCCATTACATTGAACAAATAGAAATCATATAATATTCCATGAAAAACATTGAGTAAATGTGATTTAGCTTTATTATGTAAGCGATACCTCGATAATTACAAACAAGGTTCTTTCAGTGCATCTGTGGTTACTAGGGGAACAATCGAATCGCTTCATTGGTGGCGCAAGCGAGTGGAGAAAAGATGCTGCAAATTGCTAGATATCCCTTACCTTTTAACCCTACCCCGGTTTTGTGTCCGCTATGCACCTTACCTCCCGGAAATACCCGTTTTACTTTTCAACCGTGTTGTTTCTACCCCACGGAAACGCATCCAGAATCGCAAGTCCATCTTCCGGTAAATTCTCTAATGAGTCTACGGAGGTCCTCTTTTGAGCCTTACAGGGCCCCGGTCCGATCTGTGAATGGGATCCCATTAGCATCTCAGAATTTTCATTCTCCGTCAAACGAGGATATTACGCGAGTGCAGCCTGTGCGAAGTAGTGGCGTTGGTGCTAATCAGCACGATGGTAAGTCGAACAAGTTCTCTTTACATTTGTGTTTTTCTTTAATTTGAAAGGGCGTTTATCTCCACCTTCAACAGCCCAAGGAAGTCTGAGAGACTTAATTACAAATCGAAAATGACTTTTTAAGAGATACAGTAAGCTGTAAGGACTGTTGAAAAGTTTTCTAGTCTCAGTTTTATCGAGAATTGTTCTGATGAACACGCAGTGAAAACGATTCTCTGACTCATTGGACTGTTTCTCAGTTGTTTTGTAATCCTTATTTTTAAGGTATAACAAAAGCTTTGCGTACTTGTGGACCTCTATTTTTTAAGAAATGCGATAAATAAAACAACAGGATGATGAGGGAGTAAGTGTATAACAAAAATAACATTTGATTTTTTTTTTTTTCGAAATGCAAAAAAGAGCGCAAAAGGGGTAAAGCTGAAACGTTGCCATGGTTATCACACGCAATTAGATTAAGCTGTCATTGTTGTATTCTTGTAAAATCATAAGCGCATGTATTTGTAAACCGCAGCTAATACTGCTTACATAGGATCGTTTTGTAATAATTATCCAAGTAATGACGTTCAACAAAACTTTACAAAACATAGAACGATTAGACTGAAAAAGTTGACTTGGTTTTTACCCCTTTGGCTACTGTTGCTGAGAGACTTTCTTTCTATCTTGACCATTGGTCCGCGTCAGCCTTTACCAATCATCTTCCAATCGTCTTTGATCATAAGTAATTTTTCCGAAGTTCCCAAGGGGCGATAATCATTTACTGTTCAAAAATACAAATGTCTCTCAGTTGCGGCAAGACTAGAGAAAATGCAGGAGTTCTTTGCTAACTATTTAAAATTTAAATGTGTTGGTAGGTAACAGAGACGATTCAGGAAATTTGCATTGCACTGCCCTTTCTGGCATCAAGAAAAAGCGACGAAAGAGAACTATTTTCACATGTGAACAGCTGAGTCGACTGGAATCTTTGTTTGAAGAGCAGCAGTATATAGTGGGCACAGAGAGACAGCAGTTGGCAGAAGCTCTGAATTTGTCTGAAACTCAGGTTAGCTGTTGGCGACGTTTTTAGAGATTCAGGGCGAACCTTGTCTTGAGGACTTCCCTCAGAAAATGGGGGAAAAGCCCTGGGGACGAGGATGATTCCATTTCTATTTGCACTGTAGAAACGAGAAGGAAACTGGGGCGAATGGATTCCGGAGTCCGATCCTAAGCGGGATTCCGGATTCCTTAAGCTGAATTCCACTATCCCAAAGCCCCGGATTCCGGGTTCCAAAAGTAAAAATTCCTGCAATTCCGGAATCCGGATTACCTTGCATTGGGCGAAATGGTCGTTTGTGCCGATAATCTTACAACTATCTCTTTTTTTTTAACACAAACAGATCAAAATTTGGTTCCAAAATCGCCGAATTAAATGGAGGAAGGAGAACAAGCAGAATTTCCCAGATTTTTTTGGCGCCAGTCCTTTCTCTGTTGCGTGTGCCCGAATCAGACACTCAAGAGGACTGGATTCCTGGGATGACGAGTGATGCGTTGGCGTAATGATAGTAGGGAGCTCAGTATTGCTTTTTAATGATCCACGTGTTTTCATGTTTGCTTTGAAATCGCGCAAGTCTACTTGCGTTTAGCTGGTTGTTAAGAGTTTATAAAGGTCGTTTGCAAAACGAATGAGTGATTGAAACTTTCCGGAAAGCTCCGAAAGTTAGCAAATAATTTATACCCTGTTTTACAAATTTCAAGATGTCTCGAAATTCCTCTTATAGATTTTTGTGAAACTTCGCACAACAGAAGACAAGCACCCAAAAAAGTATAGGTAGCGTAAAGCATTTCCAAAGAAAGGCTGATAAGGGCAGAAATTTGATTTAGAGATAACACTATTGTGACGTCATTGTCGCTTGATATTTATCCGATCACCCAAAAAATAATATCATAATAAAGTTTAGTCTATGTGTAATACATGTATTGCAATTGGATTTACACTAAAGATCAATTCGCTTAAGTATGGAAGGTGTCGCTACAAAAATACTTGGTCGAGCCACCTTAAGCTCCCTAATTACCCTTTTAGTAGACCTAACTGACATTCATTATAAAGCAACGGTTTATTCTCGCTAATGCCCTCCATATACTTCTAACCAGCCCAGAAACACTGAACAAAAAAAACATATATGTTTTTTATAACACCCCAGCTACAACGAAGAGAAAGCTTCCCATGATATTGCTTGTTTTATTTTAGCAGATTTTTTTGAAAACGAACCTAACGAAATATGCAGCCATTTGAGTAAAAAGAGCCAAAAGGCAGGGTTTTTTGCGCTGGATAAGCTCTTAAATCACACAAGCGAAAAAAAATGAAAAGAAAAAAGAAAGATCTAGGAGGAAGAAAGGAGGAGAAGAAAAAAAGGCAATGGTTGAACTCTTAGCTTTTATATTGGCTGCTTTGGAGATAGCTTTTGACTCATACAATCTGTTGACGGAAAAGTTCTACTTGGCGCTTAAATGTTCAGTACCGCAAATGATCGTAACGTTTTCAAAAATCCGGCTAGATACACCTAATTCAATAACTTTGCCTTTAAAAAATGCTTAAAGGAAAAATAAAAAAAAAGGAAAAGCCAATTTACACCACTCTAGCCGCAACAATTTGAAACATAAGGGTTTCAAGATCTTTATTCGGCAAGCGTAAAAACAAATGGAAAATTCAACAGCTGTACGCCTACAGTCACTGTATGTTGCAAATTGATGAATCTTAGAAGAGTTTATCAGTAAGCCTAATTAATTCCTATTTGGCTTTTTATATTTTCCTTTTTGAAATTGCGCATATTGGACTTAGTGTGAACCTAAGTATGGCAAGGTGTATGGATACTGACCACGAGATTAATTGTATTCTATAGACGGGAGTATCTGGCAATTAAACACACGGTCTCCTAGAATCGATGTGACCATTACATCTGGAAACCGAGTGTCGCATTTTTAGTATGCGACGCGTCCCCTCTCGACTAATCATATCACAGGGTGCCCAGGCTCAAAACAGTCTCCAAAACCAAAATACAGTATAAGAACAGGTTTTGTTTGGGAGTACATCGTAAGATCGATAAAACGGTTATAATCCACATAAACAATACAGCCATTAAAGTGTACATACCTCATAAAGAGATGTCTCTGTCTTGTTTTCTTTCTGTTTCCTGCTCTAAAAACGTCGTTTTAGCAAGTTATGACGTTTTGGTTTCCGGGGTGTACTCCTGGGAATTCTTGGTGAGGGTGTGCCGCCCGGTTCCCCAAATCCTTACCCTATTCCAGAACAAAAATGTCATTTTTCACACCCGTTTTCAGACCTGGTCTCTAAAATCCATACCCGTTTCAGAGCTAAGAAATTATGTCATCATTACTTTGATTAGAACGGCAACAACAACAACAAAATTAAAATCCGAAAATTTAATATTTCGAAATCGCGTATTTCTCTTTCTTTCTTACTCATTTAGAATTGAAACGACGAATACCTTCATACACTCCTGTAGTTCCCTCGAAGAAACAGGTATCAACAAGTTTTAGGAGTGTCAAAATACTGTACTTTTGAATACAGAATAATATTCGTGACATTTATACGTGATCTACGTTTATTTCCGTGCATCACCAGTGCAATAATCGTGAATAGCGGTTTTTCCAACATAAATAACAGTACAAGGTTATGTCGTAGGATTTCAAAGTTATTCACATTTTTGGAAAAAATGAAGTTTTGTAGTATATGCCTAGAAAATTGATGACATTCTCTAATAAGTTCCACTATTCTTCATTAAGGAGGCCAAAAATCATAGAAATCGGTTTGATCTTTCCTGCTGAAAAACGGGATTAAGAAACGTAACCAACACGCTATTTAATAGTTCCGGGCTACCTTACGTAATGTGCTCTATTGGCTCTATTGAGTCTAGTCCCCCTGCAAATGTGCCAGCTGGAAGTAAAATATGTTATGAACTCATTATGTTACTATGATAACTTAGATGTCAAGTGCGCTGAATATAACAAGGGTCATAGCAAATTTTCATCTTTATTCTATACATGTTTTGTGGTCGCTGGGACTTTGTTAATGCTCAAACTTGGAAGGTATCGCTCCTAGACATTTACATGGTAAGTGGTGTAGCGTGAAGAAAGAAATTAGCGAAACGAAAGAATTCTTTATTTAAGGTAAGATACTATTTACGGGAAAAGTTATTCTACTTGTATGTCCCTATTGGTTTCCTAAACACGGCGAGAATCTCTCTATCTTGACTCCTTTTGTCTATAAATTTTAAGAAAAAAATAGTTATACTTTTCATTTGAATAGTTCTTTTTAACCAAGGGGTGCAAAAAGGCGGTAAAAAAGTCTTTCGGAAACAGTCTTCGGAGATCAGACCGGTTGTCTTTTCAAATCGCCTTAAATATATGCGATTCTTTCCTTGCATGATGATCATAAAATTTGATCACCACTATCTGACTTTGGATTGGAGTCTTGTCAAAATGCAGTCTTTACAGGGTTCTTGGTCTTTATCTAGACCTGTCACTCAAATTCCACCATTGGGAACTTAAAGCGTAGTGTTTGGCAAATAACCCCGTGAAAATAAACGAATTCTGTGTGTTAGAATTCAAACACTGAAATGGCGAGTAAATTTCAAACCTATATATTTTCAATAATAGCCGTGATAAATGAATGAGTAAACAAATTCTACACCACTAAAGTTACTCTAAAGTAAGAACACTATGCTGCTTGATATCAGATTTTCACGCTATTAAATTTTGGTGTATTTTTTTATTCTTGGTCTTAGAAAATTATTTTATTTTTCCCCTAAAGTCCATTCCAAGTACAGTAAAACCTTATTCAAATTTGGGATCTTTTTTCCTTATATACGGAATGGCTCTGTAAAATTCTTTAAAAAAAACTCATCACATAATCTTCATGACGTATAAAAATAACTAGAGTGAAACTGTCATTAATATAAATTTACATCAACACTTTCAAATTTTCAATCGAACCTAGCTTACATGCCAAAAAAAAAATTGGCGTTCATTCTTGACGGCTTTGTCTATTTACAACTTCAAAAACTTGATATATATACCTATTAATTTTTGACTATGTGTATACACCTTTAGAGACGAAGACTTCAAATTAAAATCAAAATATCTCTTTTATGAACGGACGCTAACCCGCAATGGCTCCAGATATTGAGCCATTAGAAGTTCTCTTATTGGACACTGTACCCATAGCCATAGTTTAAATGCAGATTTTGGCATGAGTAATGTATGGAGACAAAATGATTGTGTCTGTTTTGCTTTTGATTGCGAGACACGTAGTCTAGTTAAGATAGATAGATAGTTCATTAAAAATCGCTTCGCAGCCCAAAGGCTGAATTATGCAATTATTTTCAACACTATTACGAATTTCTAGAAAAAACTACATTAAAATACATACTATAAAATATGGTAAATCTAATAAATAATTTAAAATATATCAGAATTAAAAACTTTTATACATCAAAATATTTACAATTTGCTCAAAAAACAGTCGATATTCTTAATTAAAAGGAGACATCTGTCTTGCCCGTGCAAGAATAAAAGAGTTCTTCGCCCTATTAGTACCAACAGGTGGGATGTTATAGGCGCGATTGTTTCTCAAACTAAACCTAGGATTGTTACGACGCGGCAATAAGTTGAAGAGATTATGATTTTTGACGGAAGTACTAGTGTTAAAAAATGTGCTACACAATTGGCGATAGTGGTTTACCATTGGTGTGATGCCCCCAAATTTGCAAGCATCGCCTTAGCTCAAGTCCGGTATAATTATCGATAGCGCCCTCTTCTTGATACGCACGAGCTCATTAATAAGATACTGGTATTGTATAGTCTTAATAGCCCACGTTCAATACATGTATATTAAAATTCTAACATGACTCCGAGGCCTTAGGATCAAAATTGCAACTTTTTCACGACTCCATTGTCTCGCAATTCCCAGAAGTGAATTGAGCAAAGAGAAAACCAAACCAAATGTAGAAAAATGACCAGAAAGTCTTGGAATCATGTTACAATTTTAATGTATCGAGCGTGGGCCAACGTAGATCGTACACAAGTTGTGTAAAAATTGCAATTGTGCCCACTTTAGCTGTACTAAAAAGTATAACCTCTCTCTATTGTGGCTTTCTCAACAAGATCATCTATTCCATTATCTGTGTCACTTATAGTGAGCCCAAGAAGCTTAGTACTACTTACAACTTGTAGCTCTTTTTCCTCAACTACAACTGCATGAAACTCTTGGAGCTACAAGCAAACGAAATCCTGAGCTCTTTACATTTTTCCGGATTTAGGTTCATCGTAAGTATTTTTATGCAACCAAGTGATACTCTGAGCATTATTAACATCTCCCCTATGAATGATCTCTGAGGCCGTGGTATCATCAACAAATTTCCATCAAAAGGGCGAATGAATAGTAAGATCATTTATCATTAGGATAAATAACCACGGCCCCAATTTGTTACCCTGTGGTACCCCGGACGGGACTGAGCCCCATTCA